TAGTGCGCACATAAGCCCCTCCACAATCAGTGTGCTATGATGTGCACCTCGCGATGAAACGCCACGTTGCTGCCATGTTGATCGCAGCACGGTTGTGACAACCTCCCACCTCTCCTGCACATATTTCAGTGATTTTGGGGGGGGGGAACTTTGCCTGACAGAGCTTCTTGATAAGGACAAACTATCTCCCCTCTGTGTTGTGTGAGTGAGTGTAGGTAGCTGCAAACCGGAGAAAGCGGCAGAACATACTCCATTTTTTAGCTGCCGTCAGGTCTTTCGTGGTACCATATGGGACAATCCTCTGCCCCACGGCGCCGCCTCGCGCCATGAGGCGCCGCCCGCGAGGCCGCAGCGCTGCTCGCTGGACAAGGACAGCGCGAGTCACCCCTCATCCACGCAGCAGCTAATACACCGGTTCATCTATGTTCTCCTAACCCAGCACGGGTTCACTCTGCTCATTTACAACTCCGCACACCAGGAATGCTGCACCAAGAACCGGGCTTGGCCCAGGTGCTACTTCAAAATGCTAAGATTCTTCCCATTGATTTTAACGACAAAGCCACTGGCTTGGCTTGTTTATTTTCCTGGGTGGCAGGAAAAGATGAGCTGGGAGTTAAAAGTTACTCCTGCTTTTCCTACTTTTCTTGACCTCAAATTCCTTCCGTTATGGGCAAATCACAGGCCCTGAGGGAATGCCGCCGACCTGGTCGCGTTGCTTGTATGAGGAGCAGACTTTGCATGCTCAGGGTTGCCAGCGGGCTTGGGAGCTGGCGCAACCTTTTCTCCTTTTCCACCATGGTTGTTTCCTGGTACATCCAGACTTCCCTCAGGCTCTGGAGTTGCCTGGCACAGGGATCACTGTCTGGAGCAAGGGGCCTCTCTCCTCTGCTGGTGCTGTCAGCGGCTCCTCCACCCAACGAGGCAGTGCTGCTCTGGGCCAGTTTGCACACACAAATGCAAAAAAAATGCCCAAAAAAGGCCATTAATGTTTAAAATCATCAGAGGTGGGAGAAGGCTTATCCCTAAACTAAATTAATAATAATAATAATAACAACAACAACCTTCCAAAAGTATAGTTGTTTAGCTGGACTATGACTGTAGTCATATTTTCTCATGATTTGACTGGATTTATTTCCCATATGGCCAGCTTACTCTTTTTAAAGATTCAACAACAACAAAAAGATTTACACAAACATAAATAAGATAAATAAGTACAGGGAAAATTCTAGTTATTTCTGCATCTGCAGCAGCTCTCGCTCGGAAGGCCCCAGCACTTGGCAGCTGACCAAGCCAGGGCTGGTTCCTCCACTTTCATCTTTGCCTGGCAACACTGCTGCAAATAAACAGGGAGGCAAACGAGGTGGGCACGGCGCTCGGAGACCTACCGGGAAGCTTTCCTATCGCAGGAATCATCTTACCTCACATTGAGGGTATATAGGAAAGCACTAAGGCTTTACATGGCTGGACAGACATTTTCTACGTTTTTTCCCCTGCCCTCTGAAGTAGAATGAATTATTAATGAGTGGCCAAGATAGGCACAAATACGAATGCAGGGCACTCCAAGTCTTCACTGAAGAAGAATTCCCCTCTAACATAAGTAACCTTAAAAGGCTTCTGGTGAATCCAGAGTTCTTGTGTAATAGTTGACGTGTATCTCAGGTTTATTAGCAGAACTTAACGTTACAACACACGGCCCCTGTCAAGAGATCAGAGAGCATGTTTGCCATTTTCTACACGCAGGACTAGCGGCAGTTGTCTCCCCTAGCCATCCGAAAAGTCACTGAAAGACATGATAAAGACTGCAGCCCGACCTACTCAATGACCAATTTGAACAAACCTGGAGCTCCCTTGGAGGAACAGATTGGGGAGAAAGAAAAGGAAACATGCAGAGTTCGTTGTTTCCAAGAAAAACATGGCTTGAAAACTGTGTTTATTGGGAAACGCAAAAGCCATTAAGGCAGACAGGGCAAAGTGGGATGAAGTCTGGGACAGCAGATGTGGTTCCTCCTTAAGGCCAAACCACAGAAAGGGGCTTTGGGGCAACAGAAGTGCAACTTTTGGGGCAAGTGCAAATAGATGATGCAAGTGCTGCAATGCCTGACTCGAGGTACCTCGTGGCAGGATTTACAAACACAGGGTAGGTGCAAAGCCTCCTGCCCCTGGCAGCAGACTGGCACCTCGGAAGAGTGACCCGCAACCATGAGCGTGCTCAGGAACAGGCTGCCTTGCAAAACCGGTGACTAAAGCGTAAGGGGCCTGTGGAAATTAGCTTGTTTCATGTATAGGCAGCAAATGAGCTTTTTATTATTTTAAAAACTCAGACTTGAGGTGTTCATACCTAAATTCTGCCCTAGCCTTCCATGGGACAAGCCTGCAGTGGCTCAATGGGACACTGGCACAGCTGAAGCTCAAATACATGTTTCTGCAATGCACTTAACTTGACTGCAGCAATCGGGTCTCAGGTTTCTCCTGCATTCCTTCGACATTATCCCACAACGCGCTGTTATTAAATTATGAGACAGATCATTTAAAATGTTTTTTTAATTTGTGCCCTTCATCAAGATCTGCAAAACGCCACGGATATTGCTGATTCGCTGCTAAACGTTTCTCGGGCAAACTTCCAAAGTCAAAGCGAAGTTGATCTTGAGCTCATATTCACTGCAGAACATATGGGAAATGTCAGCACTTTAAAATAAGAAATCACTGTATCTCTCTCTCCATTTTAAATTGAACCATGGTCTAGAAGATATCCTCCTAATGTCCTCAGTAGTGTTTAAGTTTTGGAAGTAAGCCAAGTATTTTAGTTGTCACTCTGCTCTTAAATGCCACTTGTAGCCATAAATAAGGTTCTTACCATGATTAAAGGACCCTTTGTTTTAGAGACTATTTATATCTTAAAGGATATAGAGCTCCCATGAGTCAATTCCAAACAGCAAAATAAAAACCCTATGTGTTGCACAAAACAAAACCATCCAGAAAGATACATTTCATCAATCACAAAACTACCTGTGGTAAACAGATTTATTAACGCAACCTGGATTTTCCTAGAGAAATCCCATTCCTGCCCTGGAGCTGCCGTGGCCAGGGGTGACTTTCCTGGCAGGAGGGACGGGCACAGGTGACCTCCGGAGCACGGCAGCATGGGGACAAACCTCCCCAGTCCCCCCAGCACACGTCCACCTGCACCCACAGATGTGCAGCTTTTACAACAAGAGCTGAAAATGATGCTTTTAAGGATCTGCACTCAAGAACATCTTAATTTTCTAAGACACTTCAGAAGGACTGACACTTTGTGGGCGCCTCACATTCATTTTGCCCACACGAGATGATTTTGCACATGCTCTGCTCCTGCGGGGTCTGCAGACAAGCAGACAGAAGCGATCACTTTTACGAGCGTTACTGACTGAATTTTAGCAACATTTATCCCGAAAGCTTTTGGCTCCAGAGCAAATACAAATTCCGCCATCCCCAACTGGCGTCTTGGACTATCTTAGGAGGTTTGATGCTATTTCCCTTCCAGAGCTTGTGTTTGTTTGTATGTAAAACAAGCCTTTGACCCGCATCCAAAGGCGTTTGCTGACTGCTTGGCACGATTCCTTGGTTAGAGCGCGAGGGCTTTGCAGCATCTCAGAAGCAGCCGTGCGGAGCATCTCCGGGGACGCGGAGCCGGGACGGCTGCGGGAGCACCGGGAAGTCCATGAGCACTGGCAAACCTGGCACCACGCGCAGAACTGTTCAATGTTCCTGGGTTTGAGAAGAAATCCCTGCTCTTCCCTTCCTACCCATCAGATATTTACGGAGTTGAAATAAATTCACCATTCACTACCTGCCTCATTACTTTTTTTTGAATCTGGCAGCTAAGCTTTCCTTTAGTCACCCTGATCAAAGGCCGAGAAGCACCTTTATCTCTAAAGGCTCCAGATAGATAAAAAGGCAGCAGAAACGCTGCCCCCAAACCCTCGGCAACTTCCAGCCGGTTGGGGCGGCGCAAACAAGCAGCAACGCGGCCGGGGAGCCCGAAATGGAGGTCGCTCCTGTTCCTCGCTCCCCGCGAGGAGCCATCACTGCCCACAGCGAAGGAGCCCCCACAGGAAGGGGACGAGAGCTCGAGAGCTGCAGGGGGAGCTCGGCTCCCCGCGACGGGCCAAGGAATAACGTCCCCCCGCCACCTTCTCCTACATCAGTGTCCTCTGGATGAGGAGCTTCGAAACAGCTTTTGACACGCCATGAAGAAAAGGTCAGAGCAGTTAATGTGCTCCTTGATATGGCCCTGTTTGAAACAGGGCATTTTCAGAAATTCCAAGATTAATTACTTTAGCTTCAAATTCTCCAGTTTAAAATGCTCTCTGATGCCAAAATACATATATACAGTAGCCACCCTGCCAGAGTTCCTTGGCAAACAGAAAAATCATTTGGTTCAATAAAGACCAGAACATTTGTGCTCAGAAACGTTTCCCAGGGCAGATTTTGCTTAAAGTACTAACAATTTTCCTGCAAGTCAGGATAATGGTCATAATAAAGAGCATATTTGGCATTAAAAGCCCGAAGAGCTCGCAGGCATTTCTGAGGCAGCGCTTGGCTCCCCGGGCCCCTCTGAAGGTCAAGGCGCTGCCCTGCTTGACAGGGGCAGTGAATACCCTGCCCCGACGGGGGCCTGGAGAGCAACTTCAAACCCCTCCTGGAGAGCACACACTGCTACGTTTAAAATTAAACGCCGTTTTGCTAACATGTATGATGTGCACTTTTGAGTCCGTTTCCACAGATATCCATGCCACCTCTGAACACCAGCAATTCTACGTACCAAAGGCTTGGCATTGGCACCGGCACCTCCAGGTGCATCTGGCTCAACCACTCAGAAGATTTGGATCTGAGTCTTTGAACCCCCTCGTGACTAAGCACAGAGCCTTCCTACAACACTACACAGGGACGTTGGTCCAGACGTCCTTTATACAGAGCCCTGGCTGCACTGTATTTTGCAGTGAGGAGGAAGAGGAGGAAGGAAAGGCAATCAGATCTCTCTTCAGTGTTTATGATAGGGAAAATTTTCCAAAGTAGCATATATTTAATTTAGTATCAGAATATCAAAATGTGCCCTTCTTGCAACCATACTAAAATCCACCTACCGTGTAGATGTACTGCATACCTGGAAAAATACAGTTATCCAATATAACACAGATTTGTAGACAAGGGCTGCAGTCCACTCCATAAAATCCACCAGTAACACATCAACGACATTGAAGGTACGTACCAGTATATCCAGGCAGGCTGCTTTAAGTAGAGTTATCTGGTCTGCAATGGTCAGGCTTGTAAAGCCTGGCAATCGTTTTGCAAATTCCACTATTTTAATAATGCACTTTGTTGCAAGTTCACTGAATTTGTCCCAAAGCCCAAGATCCAGTCGAACCCGATGGTCTGCACTAGAGTTCTGGAAAAAAAAAACCACAAAAACGAAGGAACCATAAATCAACGATCTTCCTCTGAATAAATGATTTTCAAGGCAAGAAAACAGCAACAGAGTCTTCCTTCTAGAAGCACTTTCTATTAACATTCCAGGCATTTTCTGCAGTTTGCTGTTGGGATGATGCTGTTTTTAAACTTGGATTAATCGCCTGAAAATTCCTTGGATATTTCTGTTACTTATGATTGCAGAGGCCATCTGTACAAGGAATACAAATGAACTTAAGCATTTTCAAATGCCACTATCATTATTCTTCCTCGCCATTATATAATAAGTGCAGTGAGAGAGACAATTTACAGTTGTACCCCGGAAAATAAAATGAACAGTGGAACATGAATATTGGGTCCTCATCTGGAAAAAGCAGCACAATATTTGGAACGCAGCTTCACATACTTAAGGTCTTAGCAAATTAGTTCTACTTAATTTATCTGCTCTGTGGCTCTGCAAGGGTTTTACAGCTTTCTCAAGCTACGGTCTCTCATGAATTAAGGAGAATTGCTCTACAGAACATTATGAAAAACACTGTGGACAACGACAAACGCTGAACGCTCATTTGATGGTATCTCCAGCATGTCCCCTATTGCTCGATGTGTTACAATGACACTGTATCTACGTCTTTCGGGGATTTTTTTCCATATATACTCACATATCTTAATCCAAAAAGCTGTAATTTTCCAGGATATACACCCATATTGGCCTTGTGATTCACATTTTTGTACATTAAAAATAGCTACTGAACCCTTAAACCCAGTTAGCAGACATGATGGATTCGATGCCCAGAGGAAGTGTTCAATTTACTTGGCTCACCCTTTCCTGGAGGAAACATCTCTAGTTTCCTAGTTTTCCTAGTCTAGTTTTCTAGTTTCTAGGAAACATCTCCAGCTGCTGCTGGCGAGGACACCGAGCTCCCTGAGAACAGCTGGAGATCTCCAAAGGAGCCGTGCAGTGGCACTGCCTTCCTCCCTCACATGTTCCTCCTCCTCCTCCTCCTCAGCTGGGGCTCCTGGTGACATGCTATGGTGACATCCCACCATCTCTCGCCTCAGCCACCGGGTGCAGGGCAAGGCTCAGCACCAGGGACCTATTTTGTTGAATGACTAGTACAAAGGGACTCTAATTCAGCCAAAATCCCTTGCAAGGGAATTCTCCATGAGCAAAAGGCCACATGAGGCAGATGATTGGCATCTCAGAGACCAAGAGCATCTTGTGGTTCCTGAGAAGGAGGTGGCAGGAGAGAGGACACGGGGTTTGGGATAAGGCCAGCGTGGCTACAGGCAACTGGTAGCCAGTGCCAGGCCCAAGGAGGGGCTGGGGCGACGTGGAGCTGCGGCTGCTCCCAAGGGAGCTGCTGGCCTGACGCCCACCCCGGCTCGCACCGGAGCAGAGCAGCCAGCCGGGATTTACCTTAGGATTTACCTTAGTACTTACCTTAGGATTTACATTACTGCAACAAATCAGTGCCAGCCACAGCAGGCGGTCTGAAGGTGCACATCTGCCTTCTTTTTAAGAGATAAGAAACTAACTTAATTTCTATTCGAGTGGCTATTCTGGGAACTCCTTTAAATCAACTTCTCTCATTTTGTTTTTAAATAGCAGAAGAAAAGACAGGAGAAAATGTCTGCATAATCCTAAACCCAAGGAATTGCCTTCGAAATGGCCCAACACTAATGGGTTAACAGTCACTGCAATGCCCTTTGAAACATTTCTTTTGGCTACTGGAGTATGCATCCTTCAGATTTATTTTATTTCATCCTCAAGGACCTTGGTGAAATACAGTACATTGGAGGAAAAATAAGATCAAGATGTGCAGTCATTCAGGCTGTAATTAAATTTAATAGGCAGTTTATCCAGTTCATAGAAAGATGGCATAGCGTGGAGCTACACAAAGCAGAGCCTAAAGCAGGAAATCATTTTACAATAGGGTATCCATCTGGAAAAAAAGACGTTGCATGAAACCAGCAAGTGTGAACGAAATCTTCATCAGTATCATATGAGGTTACTTTATCATGCTACAGTACTGGCAATGGGAAGTTTGACATGTCTTCTAGTAAGAGTAATGCACGGCCGTCTTAACAAATGTAAATCGAACTCACTATTATGCAAACTGAAGGGAAGGGGCAGTTAATAAAATACAAAATAACCTGGTGTTTTATTATGCTGGTTGCCATATTCCCCAGCATTGGACCTAATGTGATTTACATATTATCTTTGAGATGCTACAAATGGAAAGACTTCTAGCATTTTATTTGGTAATGAAGGCAGCCATAAGCATCACGGAAAATAGCTAGCTTTTTAGCAGCATTTCTGAATATGTAAAAACAAAGCTGACTCTACCAATGTATAGGTTGAACACTAAAACGCGCGGTTAATAAAATGCATTTTAGAAGTAGAAACTCTGATTAAATTTGCCTGGGGATCTCCTCTAACCATGCTGCGAAAAAACATGCAGATGCTATGATTTCTCCTGAATATTTTACTGAAGCTGTTTTTAGGTGTCTTTTCCAGGAGCAGCCTTGCATGTTTTTCAAGCTTTTGCACCAGAGCACATATGGTGGAACAATACTGTAATACACCCTAGTGACATCTTTATCAGTAGAAAAGCCCAACCTTGCTATGAAATCCAATTAAACAGCCATTTTTGCCACATAAATGGATCCCATTTTTTCCATCATTTTTGTTTTTCATTGCAGCCTGCTCCATCTCTGCATTAACGACACAGGACGAGGCACTCACGCTAACATACACAGTGGCAGAATCCCCCTGTCTTTAAAACCCACTTTACAAATGGAGCAAGGCTCACAGGGGCCACTCTGCCCTCCTCAGGAACACTTCCCACGGCTCCTTAGCGAAAGCAGGAATACGCTCCGGCTCGTGCGAGGGCCTGCTCCCTGCACCAGGGTATTCTGCATTTCCTCTGCAGGAAAAATAGCAAAGGCAACTTTTAAGCTGAGCGCCTGCAAAGAGCAAAATGCCACCGCGATGCAAAACCTGCCGGCCTGCAGCTAGCCAAGGGCAGCTGGGGAGAACTGGAGGCAAGGATCTGCAGAGGAAAAATTATTTGCTGTTTTATCCTCCCTTTATCATGAGGCTGGATGTACCACAGCTGTAGACTTACAAATAACACCAGTCTCAAGGGACGAGCAGTATAGTTACACTCAATTATCCTATAAAGTATGACATCTCTGGAGAAATTACTATGGCACTTTCTCTTACCTGGATGACAGTAATAAAACAGAGCTATTTATGATGGACTTTTGAAATCCATTATGTTTAAACAGCTTGCTGATTCTCATCATCGACAGAACTAAACTTGCCACTGCCCACCAAATGCAACTGTTAAGCCAAATGATCCAGGGAATTTAATACGAGAGCTGTTCTCCCATCATTTTAAGTAGACTTTTATTAACTATGCAAAGCACAGCAACTACTACAGAGAGGGACACTTTTTCTTTTAAAAAGCAGACAGATATAAAGCGCACAATTGAAAATGCTTTTCCAAACCCATTTTGGAACAAATAAAAATACACAACGGAGGGAAAATGCCACATAACCTTTTCCTACAGGAAATGCAGACCGCCGTGGTCCAGAGCAAGAGGAGTCAGCTACACAGTCCAAACGTCTGGGAAGATGTTGGTTTTTAATGACTGTATCATCTCGGCTCTTTTACCCCTCTCTCTAATACTTAAAATCCTTTGCTGTTTTTAGCAACAAACGGAAACATGTTTTTAATCAGTCTCAAAGACTGCTGAAGCAGAGCCGCGCAGGAGCAGAGCTTATGGAGCACAGATCCCTCCTGCCCTGGCTTCTGTTGGGACCACGGAGCAACTCGTGAGACTCGAGTGACTCCACGTTGACTCAATATGCTCATTTCTCACTTGAGGATTTTTAAAAAAACAACCCATAGGAAGGTGGTAAAACCAGCCCACATGCTTCACAGAATGAAGGGTCATTTTTCATGGATATTGGCCTACAAAAGGAGTCAGAAAAGCATATTCTGCCTGTGTTGGCTTATTACTATCACAAAAAGTGTCCTAAGCTTCTCTTTGGTCCCAATATTAAAAAAAAAAAAAAAAGAGAGAGAGAGAAAGAGAAAAAAAACAGTGGTGAGGTTCTGCTTTTTGACATCTGATCCCTATTTCAAGAGCCTCAGAAGAAAAGGCTGTAGCCCGAGCCTGGTTTTGACTCTCTGAGAAGCTCATGGGCCCTGCACCTTCAGCAAAAACCCTCTTCCCCACTCCTTTGGGGACAGGAGATGGAAGAAGCTGCAGACGGAGGGCTACCTTTATCCCAACCACACTATTTTATTTTATTCCAACCTATACCGTTTTATTCCAACCACACCGCTATTCAGAAATACACTAAACCCCAAGTTTTCTGTTTTTGTTTTTGTTTTCTCTTTAAAGCAAGTGCAAACAGCTGGGGGATTCCTGTACTCTATCACCTTAAAAGCTAGGAAAAAATAGCATTAATAACAAATTCCTACCCAAAATGCCAGAATGGTCACCAAACCTTAGCTAGATGAGGGTTTTAAATAGTTAGCATTTCACACAGAGAACATGAGAGCAAAGGGAGATGGCAGCTAACATTTAGCACCACTGCTATTAGTTTTGACACAGCTGTTGACGGAAGCCATATGGCCCTCCAAGATTTGAGGTAAGCCAGAAATAACTCTCTCAGTATAACTTTGTTATTGCAACGTGTATTTGACCAAAGCACGACAAAGCAGTAGTCTTCAGCTACATGCAGCTAACCTGATATTGAGAGACCAAGAAACAGCAACAAAATCAAGACTTGTATCCCCAGGTTGTCCAGTGTGGCCTGAGATCAAGATTACCTATATGTGGCCTCAGGGACACCGTGGTCGGATCATGGTTCTCCACAGTCAACTCAGATTCAACCCTTATTAAAATCCAATTCTCAGTAAGGGCTCTGCAATTCCTACACGAACATAACCTCACCATCAGGCTCAGCAGGAACCCAGGATGAAGGCATCACCGGTGTGATATGCAACTAGACCTGCTCCAATTTCATCCATTTGTATCATTTCAGGAGCTAAAATATTAATGATGCTTAAGCATCCAATATATAATGCAAGAGTACAGTGCCCAGGTTTACCTTTCAGTCATTCAGGATCTTTGATATCTACCAGCACAAAGCACCGACAGGTTGGCTTCCGGGGCGCGTTTCTAGCTCAGAGACAGCGCAGAACGTTGTCACGTTGTCACGACACGTTTGTGCCCAGAGGACACCGCTGGGTTCCTCCCGGGGAGCGAGGCCGTCGGCGGGCCCTGTGCGGCACCGCGGCGCGGCGCAGGCCGGGCCATGGTCCCAAGCCCACACGGACACGCAGTGGCCTCCTCGCGAGGCCTCCTTGGGCTGCGAGACTGCCCACACTGCCTCAGAAGTGCTGCTGCATTTGAAGAAGGCTGGGAGCACCTGTTTGGAAGTTTTCATTCGCTTCCAGATGAGGACACAGCACATACTATGAGGGAAGGTATGGAGAGGATTAACTCAGGAATTCCCTTGAAAAGAGACACTACAAATCCCAGCCTCCATCCTTGAAGTGGAATCTTTTAGTTATGTCACCAGCTGGATGTTCTCCTTCAGCAATATTTACCAGCATGCTTACGCTGATTATTTTGACTAAGTCTACCCTGAGCGTGAGCAGACAGAGCACCAGAGCAGCCCACAGGTGCCAGGGGTCTTCCCAGTACTAGCAAGCAGATGAAGCTTTCAGGGACATAGAAACAATGTTCTTCTCTAGAGCCACAACCTTCTGCATTTCACGTCTCCGCAACACCCAGGCCTGCTTTCCTCACACTTCAATCCCAAAACTTTACACCTCGACCTGAGACTTTGTACCTTGCACTTTGCAAAGGAATGAGCACGCTGTAGGACACTACCCTGTTCATTAAAACACTGAGTCGAATACTCATGACTTGGTGAGCTTGCCTATGCATGTCACAGTTCACTCGAACTGGAGAGCAATCCAAAGAGTGTGCATTTTCTTTAGATTCTCAATCTTATTCCCAGATCTTCAGCCAAGTAGGACGTCAGAGGCCGATGGCTCCTTGGTCCAGCCAAGGCACTCCACCTCACATCGTGCTAAGAGAGAACATACTGCACTACTTCAGGACTTGCTCAGCCCTCTCAAACATGCAGTAATGCTACAACTCACTACATCAGCTGACTGCGCAGGCCACACCAAACACAAGCAATTCCTCTGTGCTATGTCTCTAAATATTGCCTAAAGTACATTTTTTAGCATCTCTTTAATAACTACATTTGCAAACTTGACATTATGTTTCCTCTCTGAAATCTATAAATACTGCAGTCTTTACCCCCAGCATTCAGCAATATATATGTATAGAAAAAAAATTATTTCCTCAAGTCATCCTCTGGAGAAATTCCTACTATACTCGATTTCCTAACTGGGGGCTGATTTTTCATTTCCAAAAAGCAGCTAAAGTACATGATGCTTTGTGGTATTTTGGTAGACTGGAGGGGGAATAAACTGCAAGTTTGCATTTTAGAACCTGGTTTATTTAGACATGTCATATTTTCTGTGACCTTGGTACTTTGAAAACTGTTACCAGAACACTCTACACCTGCTAAATGGTAATCCAGTGATTCACTAGCAGAACTCAAGACTTTAGAAGCTAATGAATTTCGAATGAATGGTAGTATACAATTCCCGCAGGGAGTCCAAGTTTGTCTCCTCAATGGATTTATCTTTAGGGCAACCTCTCACAATACTGGTAAGTAACACATCCACTGAAGTGCAATGGCTCTTCTTCAGCATTTATTTCCATGCACATATGCATTTTTCCCAGCTAAGAAAATTCAAGGAGTTTATCTACTTCTGTGTCTTAAACACTGAAAACCTCCAATCAACAAACTCGTGTCATTCCTGCACATGCAGAAGGTAAGCTTTACAAATCGTGCTTACTGTAGTGTATTTTCCCAGCTGGCAGAGCGAGGGGAAGGTTTCCTGGTGAGCTTTCCGGATCTTCTCAGTGAGATCATCCAACTCTGCTGTCATTTCATAGTTTTCTGTGGATTCCTGCTTTGAAGGTTCCTTCTTCTTTTTGTTCCTATCATTTCTGACAGCTATAGAAAAAAAAGAAAAGACACAAATAACATGCGGTTATTCAGACCACCCCATCTTCTTCTTGCTGCTCTGCTTCGAAACACTGCAAAATATTCTTTTTAATTTAACTGAAAGTTGACTGGAGATAAAAATGTTAGATTCGAAGAGAACATATTTGTAAGCTTAAATACTTATCAGTAAAAACTAAATTTAATGGAATAGTGATGAAAACAAACTCCCACAGGTGTTTATTTGAGATGTACTATCATAATCGCACTGTTATCTCCCTTCCAAGAAAGTCTGATACAACTTCACATGCACTCCAAGTCTCTCAACACCTTTGAGAGATGGATTTTTTTTCAGTGTTTCATTACAACTGTGTGTGGCAGAGATGCAGCTGGTATTTTATTGGATGCAAACAGCACTAAAGAAAAGCAGTAACCGTCTTTCTAAATTTCACAATATGGAACGATAACAAAACCCACACTAACACAAACTCCACCAAACAAAAATAATCTAAAGGGAAAGTTAAAGCTAAAGCAGTAAGTGAAAGAAGATGAAACACATTAAATTCAAGATCTCAGGATCAAAGGAGAAGCACAAACGCTCGAAAGGGCAAAAATCACAGCAAAGCTTTCTAAAGTTCCTTGCCATCTGCTCCTGCACTTAGGCCAGGCTTCTACCTTCCCCCTGGTTGTGAGGATTACTGGAAATATGCACTGTACAGCACTCCTTCTGCCATTGATTTCCCACATATTTGTGTTTTGTAATAAAATATGACAGCTGCTCCATCGCCATGCTACTCTTTGTTCTTTTAATGAAAATAGCCTGATTTTACAAAACGTGTCCAAAAGATAAGCCTAGGTCCACAGTACTGCCAATATAGCAAATTTTATCCAGAGGCCTGTTGTTAGCTGACGCTAACGTTTTAAGTGTAACCAGACACGTAAAGGCCCTGGGCTTTGAAAGGAAGCCAAACAAACCCAATCCCTCTCCCCAAAGAGTAAACTCTGCAGGACAAGTTGAAAATAATACTGACATTCACCTATGTTCAAAATCTCGGGTTCCCTGGGCCCATCCCCATGATACTGTGTCTTCTGCAGGTGTTTGCTCTGTTCCTGCGAACCACGAATGGTCACAAAGGGTGGACAAATGCTGCACCACTAAGAGCAGGTGAGTTTTTGGGTATTTTTACTCATAGCCTCTGGTAAGCAGTGAACAACACGCAGCTGGATTTGTTTTCCTCTGGGTATTTTCACTGAGAGAACACCAAGAGCAGTAAGAGGACACGGTGGGGTGGGAAAGCAGCAGTTATGGGGACGCACATGAAGAACTTAGGGCATGAGGCAGAAAATAGGGACTGGCTGCAGTCAACAGTGTCACCTCTTGGTGAGCCACCAAGCACACATTCGACACAACCGAAACGGCTCTGCTCTTCTTGCTAAGGGTTTGACCTCGCAACACAGAGAACCCTGTCCCTGATCCAGCGTATATTTTAAATGCAAACTTGATTTTATTTGTGTGAGCGGATCACACACCAGTGTCAGCTATGTGCTTTCCTGGATCATGGCTGGGATGTTGAACACCTTGCTGGATTGAAGCACAAGCTGTATCGACATCAATTCCAATATCTAGAGTAGCAGAAGCTCAAAAGAAGGCAAAAAGAAGCAAACAGAAAAGAAAAAGAAGCACCTTCATGTGACAGTTCAGTGCTACCTGTTAAGGCAGGTTTGGGGGGTTGGAAACCCTGCATATTACAAGTATTTCCCTAAAGCCAAAATTTGTCCTGATTTGTTCACTGAACCTCAGGGCTTAGAAACATTCTTATGCCTTGAAAAAACACCCAGCACCAACATTGACAGCGAGTGCTCCAAACCACCGCTGCACTCCAGAAGCGAATTCTCATCACCGCCGCACTTGGGAGATAAAAGAGCTCCTTAGAAAATCATGTAAACTCCTACCCAACCGCAGAGAGCAATAAACCTTGGCAATAAAGCCCCATTTACTTATAGTTCTATGAGCTGATTGACAAATTTGCTAAAGAGGCGGCCTCGGCAGCTACTTATCTCAATAGTTTTGAACTCCTGGCGGTGCAAACACACGGTACTGAGGCCAGTTGGAGGAGCAGCTGCCAAGAACTCCCCGATACGAGGAGATAATTCACACGGGAGCCGCTCGGCTGCTCCCTCACCACCCCGCTGAGCTCCGTCTTCAGCCTCACCTAAGGTCGTTTCCCTTCCCAAGTCCCCTAGAAGGGAGCTGCTGGCCAAGCCACCCCAGCAGCCTGGCTCAGCTCTGTCCTCTTTCTTTGCAGGCACAAACCATTAAAGGCTAGGAAGAGCAGAAAAGGAAAACTAATATGTCCTGAAAATCAAGGACAGTTTATTAAGATCTTAATATAATTATTAACAATAATTATAAAACCCACATAACATTTATCTTGCTTTGTTTATACTTCCTGCATCTCCTACATTTGTCTTCACTAAGGTTGCAGTCACAGCAGTTTTTCTACATTCAATGGAAAGCAACACAATAAAGGGCTGACAGGCAACACCGAGGCTCTAAAAATATAAAGAATTTCAATAATGTAAAACTTATGCAAATTCAACTCCATCTATAATTCAACTGAAAATGAAAAAAAAAGGACAAGATTAAGGCACTGCTATGTTTAAGAGCTAAATGAAAACACAGAAACACTTTTACACAGTAAATTCAAAAGCTATCATTGCCCTGGGAAAAGGAACTGCAACACCACATGTGGCTATGGTTTTGGATGGCAGCGTATGCTTATATTACATAAATCACACCTTTTTCTATCTCGGTCTTCACATGCATATGATCACATCAATCCCTGATGTAATTCCACTGCCTTTTAATGATGATACGCAAGTGATGAATCTGTGTCACAGTTAATGCGGCTGCAGAAAACTCAGGGTATGAATTTCATTACTCGCGCGCTCAATTTTGACTCCTTGGATGCATTATTTACGAGCTCCCAACAGGGGACAGCATGGCCGCTCGCTCGGCCTGTAAGAATTACTGGAAGCAAACAACAAAAGAAAAAATTTGAATAAGAAAGAAAAGAGAAGGGCGGAGGGGGAGAATGACAGAAGGGCAGGCGGGGAGGAAGCGACGCTCCCGCTCCTGCTCCCCTCGGTGCTGTGGAAGGCTGAGCCCGAGCACGTCTGCTCTGAGTCATTCCTCCCCGGCTCCTGGACGCGCAGGCCGCTACTTGCGCCTCCACACCCTGGAACGTGCAGGCAGCCGCAGCACAGGGGCACTTGCTGTTGCCTGAACCGGTGCCCGCCACACGACGGAGGACGGAGCTGAGCGTCATCGCCCACCGCCGGGATCCTCCCAATGTGTCATAGTGCTGGGACTTGTCCAGTCTCACACGTAACCCTCCAAGGCCACCAAGTTCCAGCTCCACTTGGCCTAAGAGGAACCTGGAGCCCAACACAAGAGACTTGGTCACTTTCTAGGTCACCAGGGAAAGTCAGAAGACACCAGGTTTTCCTGTTCCCTTTTGGGTCAAGGCAGGCACAAATGCGTGCAACAGAAAGAACCTGCAGCCCTGAATGCGATTTTCCCAATTACTTGCATGACCTTTGCTTCCCCAGATGCCCAGAAGACGGTTTGACAGCACCTTTCATATTTTATAATGATTAATCAGCTGTAATTCATGGCTGGAAACGCGCTCACTGCAGCTTTGCCTCTCAGAGATCCCCATGACCTCTGGGTAGCTCTGTGTACTGGTTTTGTTCCTGTAGAGACAACTGCTAGCACTTCCAGCTGGTTCACATTCCTGCAAAACCAGTCCTCTTGCCCCTAGTTTGAGGCGATTTGTTAAGCTAACAAAGCCCCAAAGCTCCAGAAGGCAAGACAACCATGCACAGAGCTTAGCCTACGGTAGATTTTCAACATGACTTTTTTGGATTTGTCTTCCAGTGCTAACCTGAGCCGCAAACAGAGCTGGGTGTGAGGCAGGACCCCCGCAGGCCAGCTCCTCCCTTGGGCACAGGGCTGCTGCCCCCGGCCTGCTCCCGCAGCAGCCCACCCGTTCCCAGCTCCGGAGAGGCCCGCGCTGCTGGGAATCGCGGGTAACTGGAGCCACGCGCAGCCGGGCACGGGGGCATCGTGCCCAAAGCGTCCAGGAGTGCCAGGGACACACGTTGTGCGGCAAAACCACCGTCCGCGCGGCTCCTTCACACGGCAACACTTGAGCGGCAGCTCCGGAGAGCTTTTTGTCCTGCAGAAGTTAATAGACCCGGACCGTTTTAGTCAAACACCACAGTGCATCCCACTCCAGAGGAGAGAAGCGAAGCAAAAACTCTACAAACCCCATGGACAAGGGTAGCACCTCACCAAAGGCTCCCATGCTTGGGGCTGATGAATTAGGCACAAAATTGAAGGCCTTCACACATGGCACCTGCTTTTCGCCTTTTTTTACAAGCAATATAACATTTCCTCCTGCTGTCCCAGGAATTTAAAACAAATTATTATTATTTTTTTAAAGAGCAAAATTCTGGAAAAGAATACGATCACACGACTAACTGACAGGCCACCAATTTAGACTGGTAAGAATCCTGCTCATGTTTTAATAGCAAGGCAATTACAAGCCAAACATAGCTTTAAAACAGGCAGAACACCAGGTAATTATAAATAAATTAGTTTTCCTAGGTCATGATTTCCAGATGAAATAATATTTTCCTTTAGGCAAAACCTGCTCACTCTTTAAAATGACCAGGAAACTATCTTAAAACAAATTCCCATGCCAGAACTGAGCTTTAACATACGGAGAATGACAGGAGGCAATGCGTGTTTCAGACACACAACCCTGTTTTTAATGGACAAAGCCAAGAGCAAGCAAACTATCACGTATGGGGCTTCAAGCACCAAAATAAAATATGCATTAAAATTGCATATTTTGTAGCTGATTCAGAGAAACCAACCATGTCAGCTGTGTGGTGCATATGCCATGAGAAAACATCCAGAGTTACACTACTATCCAGAGCGATAT